GACGAGCCAGTTTACCTCAAATTGCCCCACGAACCGACTTGGCAACCTGCAGAGTTAAACTAAATTGAAGGCCAGAGAGGGGATATTGAACTAACGGACGACAGGGTGGTTACCCGTCATATGGATCACGTTCGCCGTCGATCTGACGACATATTGCCATGCCCGTCAACCGAGCTAGTAGTCGCGGAGGCCACACAGACAAAAAATCAGCCGCTCGACTAGAGTTCGCCATTCAGTTGCTCCTTACCAGGTTGCCTAGGGAGTGCCAAATAAAAGAAGGATGAATGTGGTGTATGGGCTACCATCTCCAATCCGTGTTCACACCAGCATCGACCGTGTGCGTGTGTCTATTTATCGAGTACCCACTCACCAGTGGTTTGGCTACAGTTACTTGATCTGGGCTCTGTACCCTTTCTGGCCAGAATACACTGCGTGTTGCCAGTCAGTTGTGTTCTGTTGTCCTTGCATCGTTCGGCTACGAGCCACTATTGCGTTCGCAGGCTAGCGTTACTTTCGCACGTGTAGACTTTAACAGAGCAGCAGCACTGAAATTCAGCCTGGCTTCCGCCATGATCGGGGTTGCTTCGACCAAATATTTACCCCGCGTCAAGGTTTGGAGCAGACACACTTATAGACGACGTCCTATAAAGGTTCTTCTTGACCTGAAAGGCGTCTTCTACTCTGTTCAGTGAGCCAGTTTGTGGTACTGCTTATCCGTGAAAGGAGTCCTGGGAAAAGTCCCTTCCCTTCGGAAGTCTCTCTACCGTAATTCCCGTGGTCATTCAACTGTTTATGGGAAGCTCTTCCGAGGTGGAAGTTCTGCAAGGTGACCGATTGACAAACCGTCGGTGTGCAGACGACATAGCTCTTCTTGGGTCTGATGCAGTGACTACGCACTGCTGCACTTTTCCGCACGTTCTTTTGCATCTTAGAGGACTGAGCCGACGTTCCATCGGGTCTAGCTCTCAGCGAACAGCCATGGGAAGCTGTAGATCAGTAAACTTACATTGGTAGTTATGTCAACTCTGGTGGTCACATCGCTGAGATTAAATCGCATATGAACAGGTCCTGTATGGCTTTTCAGCCTGTCAGTGAAAGGGATGGAGTAAAGATTCTACGATAAGTTGGGAGTTACTGAATGGATCAGAGCTTTGATCGAACTGTATTGAAGACGTTATAAAACAGACCGTCTTTGGTCAGCGATGCTTTCAGAGTATTGCGCTCTTTATTATGTGCGCAAGACTTAGGTCCATTGAGTTGTTTTTGGCGCGAAACCCTGTGGTGCGCAGCTCGAGTGTTCTTAATGATTACAGCATACTTTGGCTAGATTATATCCTTATTATGTCCGTTGAGCTCTCTCCTCGGCTTTTGTGGTACGCCATCGCTGCTGCTGGTTTCGTGAAATCGCGCGGTGGGCAGTTGATATAAGGTTGCAGAGGTAAGCATAAATTGACTGAGGGACATCGTTAGACTGGTGAATGCCGTCTTTGTGGATTGGGCCTCAGAACGATACACATTAGATGTTTGAGACTCTATCGTTCCTGCATTCGGTTTCTTGTGCTTTTTCTGGACCATTTTATTCACATTTTGCTTGTAGCTAACCTAATTTAGTTACCATCGTAACTTACTTTTTCATGGAAACAGAATCCGTCCGCACCTCGGTATCCGGATCATAGTATCTGGATTGAACACAAGCGGTAAAGAAAATATCAGGGACGCATGTGACAGTATTCACCACTTATGGAGCCGGCGCGACATCACTCTCATCCTGAATGGTGTGTTTTGAAATGTAGCCGTCTTTTCAACCCCCATGCAGTTGCGAAACGGTCGATCAGATCGACAGGCGTACGAGGTTTATTATGTCCGACTACCGTTGCCCTAGAAGTTCAGATCATATGCGATAGAAACACCCCAGGTGTAATAAGCGTGTTCGCCGCCTCCTTTATGGAGCATTGCAGATAAAGTGAACATCTCAACACCGATGGCCAGTCCAAGTGTTACGGACGTCAACATGAAGAATCCCGCAATGTGGATGTGAATGAAAGCAGAGGAGAGATCAGCCGATGACTTGGGTAATAGGAAGCTGGCCTAAGGTGCCGCCACACGGCTTCAGGTCTGAGGTCTGAAAGAGGATAAACAGGTTTGTTTGATACATTTGTGGACGTAGAGAAGAGTCAACATTAGTGGCTTTTGCGTTTTGAGTTTCTCTGTCCCTTCACGTCCCTTCCAGCTCCCGCCTCTGAACATTCGCATGACTGGTACGTAAGAGAATAACACTTTGTATTTGGTTTCGCGTAATTTGTCATTCTTTTGTTGTCGTGTAATGGGATTGTATTGCGCCACAATATTGCGTCGCATATGTAAACTGAAATCTGAAAATCAGCAGTTAACACTTATGTGCTTCGAACAAGTTCCATGGAACTGCGATTAGTTATGTACAAGTATCATTAATTGGATATGCGAAACAATTAGAATACCTCTTTCATGTGAATCGTGACCGGCTAGAGCAAAAGGCAACTCGGTGTGTTAGTTATTACCCGTGACGAATTATGTCTTAATTTCTAGATGGTACGAAAAGTTGATGCAATAATGAAGGAACTAAAAGGATGCATTCGCATCCAGATAGACGCACTGTTGCAAATCATCAGCCCATTGCTACTGCCATATAAATCAATCACTTCGATCTCTCTCCAGATCACACCACTGAGGCAACAAATGGTTTTCAAGTGGTCAGCCGGCAGTCCTTTTCCGCCCTGCCAGTGCATGTTCTGGTAGCGCACGATCCAGGATTAGATGTTGTGAATGCTTTCAGATAGTGCCTAAGAAATAAGATGTAAGAGATAGGCCTGCTTGTAGATGGGTCCCATCCCGATATACTCGCATTCAATGGAAAATGGCTGTCTCAGGACATCATGGATCGTGAAATACATCAGTCTGGCTAAGCACTGTTTAGGTGTGATCCCTCCGTTGGCCGACAAGGCGGGGGCGTTGCGCTTTATGTTACCTGTGAACTTGACGTTTCGCGTACCTACATGTTTCAGTCGGCAGAAAAAATTGTCGAAACTCTGTTGGTAATGATTAGCACTTCCTCGGCTCAACTTACAGTTGTAATTGTGTATAGAAGCCCTGGGAGTGCATCCAAAGAGGTGCTTGACTTTATTCGCTCTCAATCTGCAAACAGGTGTTTGATACTGGGTGACTTCAATCTACCGGAATTTTGCTGGGCAGATCTATCTTGTAACTCGGCGGAAGGTACTTTCGGTGCAGCTCTTCCTGTTTATGCTACAAGTACCGTTGCATCAGTTTGTGAACCTCCCCACTAGTATCGTCTAATTTGGATCTAGTTTTTGCCAAGTCACTAAACTTCGTAGGTGACATCACTTACGGCTCTCCCTTAGGTGCCAGGGATCATATCTGTTTATCCTTCAGCTGTGCTGTGTCCAGAAGTCACCGAGCATCGCCGAGCTATATGCAAACATATGGCGTGCGAACTATCAGGCAATGCGTACCAAGGCTTCTGGTTTGCGTTGCGAAATGTCGGTGGCCGATACGGTTTAGGCAGCCTGGGATAAATTTAAGCCTTATCTCACGGAAGTGTCTGCTCCTTACATCCCACTTGAGAGGAGAAAATGGACATAAGCACGGTCCCCGTGGATAGATACCACTGGCAAGTAGCTGCTCTAGAAGCATTCTAGGTGCTGGAGGACCTGTCGTGCTGCTCCATCAATTAGCACCTATGATAGGTACAGCGAGGTTAGAAATAGATATAAACACCACCAGAAGAAAGTTCGGAAGGTGTACGAAAAGGGATTGGCTGATGGAGCTTCGGAAAATCCGAAGTTCTTCGCATAGATTAAGAGGCGCTGTGGCTCAAATTCGGTAATTCCAACTTGGATGCGGACTCTGACAAGGCTTATGTACTTGGTGAACAGTATGCAGGGGCTTTTGTACGTGAGGCGGGGTTGAACTGGTCCCCAGAGTCCCTGAGGGTTCTTATTTAGCTGAATTTACTGTGACGGAAACGCAAATCCTTAGGCTGCTACATGAACTGAACTCTTTTAAAGTAGCTGGGCCTGATACAATTCACCTGAAGCATCTGTATGAGTTTGCGGCGGAACTAAGTGTACCGTTGACGATGGTGTTTTAGAAGTCACTTGATAGCTGTATATTACATTCTGAATGGAAGGAGGCTGTCATCTGTCCTATGTACAAAAATGGCGAAAGGAGTCTGTCAGCCAAATATGGGCCAGTCAGTCTGATTAGCCTCGTAGTCAAACTGCTTGAAAAGTTGGTGCGAGATTTGTTGGAAGATCACCTGAATAGATTTAATCCACTCGGTAGTGCACAACACTGATTTCGGAAGAGGTTTTCGTGTCTGACGAAGCTTGGGCTGAGGCAGTGAACGATGGTCCCGTAGTGGACGTGCATTCTGTCGACTCCTCGAAGGCATTTGACAAGGTACGCCATTTGAGACTACCACAAAAGATGAGCTCCTACGGTGTATCAGGCCGCACCCTTCACTGGGTATCCGCATTCTTGCAGGAAGAGAACAAGGTGCACGCGTGGGTCGCAGCTTATCCTTTAGGCAGACGATCCCTAGCGGCATCAAACAGAGCTTCGTTCTTGGACCGATGCTGTTCCCCATCTACGTAAACGATCTCTCTAGGAAGCTTGGGGTATCCACATTATTGTTTGCTGATGACCTTAAGTTGTGGAGTGTAGCAGATGTCCCTGAGGGTTCTGAGGCCATTCAGCATGCCCTGGACAGACTCTGGGATTGGTCTAGTTTGTGGATACTGCCCACTAATCAGGCTGTGTTCCGTTCATGGTAAAAGAGCAACTTTCCCACCGTCGAGGTAGGTGCTCAGTGGGGCCGAACTCCCCCTTAATGCCAACCAGGTAGACCTAGACGTCGTCCGATCCTCATCTTTGCATTCTGATGAAAACTGGAAGAAGTCCGGAAGAGTAGGAACGGACAAAAGAGAAAGAAGGCACGACAATTATGGAAAATATCCTGAGTCCGTAAAATAGGTATAAAATGATACAAAACGAAGGGAGGAAAACATGTTTGATGCCCAGGTTGACTGTGATGATCACCAAGGTGCACTCTTAAGAGATTGTGTCTTTCAATAAACCAACCCGTTCCAACAGGTTCATGATTTGTTCCGCATCGGTGTAAAAATAAGCTGTTGCCTCCCGAACAGCAGGACGATCGACATTTCCACCGAACCCAATAAAAAAGGATGCAGGAGGACAGGCAGCGGCATCCGTCATCCCGTCGCCGATCATCAGCACATTTGTGTGGAAACGATCCATGATATGAGACACTACTTCTGCTTTGCCATTAGAACGAGCCACAGGGACAGAACGGTCGAATCCTTGATAGCAGCCTGAAAAACAAACAGTAAACAATGACTTATAACGGAGAAAAAAGCGGTTGCTTTGACAAGTCCCATAAAACGACAGGAATATGGATTATAAAATGATTGTTTAAAGTGACAGCAAAAAGGGAAAATTCTGGTTTGAGATGACTCATCGAGTTATTCACATGAACATACCTGCCGGTCTGCACACCGCTACGTAACAGAGGACTGGTGTGCACACTGTTTGAATTAATTCCTCTTCCGATGGAAACGGTCTATTTCACGTAATGTAAATGGGATAGAGGATAGTCCAATCGTTTTGTAAAATCGTTAATGTAGGGGTGAAAATAACGTGAGAAGGAAAAGCATTTCAGTTTCTGGATACCCGAAGGAAGAAACAGTTTTGTCGGCAATCAAGTCGACTGTGGTGTGTGGTCAGTTTGAGCTAGTGGCCTATCAGCTTGGTATTGTGGTTGGCTGGCAACAAATCGAGACAGACATGATTGAGGTTAGTCAGTATTTGGTACACTACAATAAGGTCTCCTTGCAGGCGCCGGTATTCGCCGCTGCACAAGCCTAGGGCTTGCAGTCTGCGTCGGGGTGTCAACTGCCCGACAGCGAAAGCTATGAGAAACAGCAATGATAAAAAATCGCTTGCGGGTTCACTTAAAGTAGACACTAACAGTTTGGGTGAGTGAATGCAGCTACAAAGTAGTTAAGCTTTGAATGAGTGATCATTCGTTATTCTATATATATATATATATATATATATATATATATATATATATATATATATATATATAGTGGCTATTTGTAGTTGCTGATTCGGAGTTGTGCTAGAAGCGCTGATTATTGAGTACCGATTATCCAGCACCCGCATTGTGATTTTGATTCCTCTGAGACCGCGGTAGCCCCAGCCTTTTAAGCGCTTGCTGCTCACAGTATCCAACATGTGAGTGAAGAATTGAGTGCAGTAATCAACAATTACCTCTGGAGTCCAAATGCTCCAAAACGCTTCCTCGCTTTGGAGTGTAGTCTGTAATTTGGAGTTCAAGACCCAACAACTTTTGTTTCAAGTGCCCACCTTGGACTATGCAACTCAAAAATGCGCTCCAGAAAATCCGTGTAAAGAGAACAGTCACGGCAAGTAACTGACTAGCGTTTATTATAATGACTTTGATGCTTCATAATCCGATTCATGTGTTAGCAGTGAGAGTTAGCATAGCAATATTTTCCGTTCTCCATCTGCCGACTGTAACTTAGTTGAGCTTATGAAAATTAGTGTTGTTTGCATCAATTAACATAAGCGCACCATTTCCTTTAACTTAGTGAAGTTGCATACACTATTTCCATCATCATTGTATCATCGCTATTCTAGCGATAATGCAAGTCGCTTGAGTACAGTTTCATTAAAATGATTAATTACTGACACGGCGCCATGAAGTATCCGTATTGCACTCGTCTAAGACGTAACATCTACATATAGGTTATCTCTTATTTGACTTATTTAGCTCGGTTGTAGTTCACGAGTACTTCGCTTGTTGCCCACTAGATCTTTGTGACCTACGTTATCCTTGCTACCTTCCCAAGTTGGTTCTAATAAGGTGACATTTCGAAACGATGAGCTACGGCATCTTCCATTTCTTATTTTTGTCCTTGATTCACATAACTAGGTAAGCTCCATAGTATTACTCATCAGACAACGCTACGCTGTCTCTATCTCTTTTTCTATTTAGATTCTACTCCTTGAAATTGATTTGAAGATTACATTAGCCTATTTCGACCAGCTGCCCGATATTAGCACGACGCTTCGCGAGACGTTGCAATGCATGATAAAGGTTCAGCCCACCCATGACCACATTCGCATTAAGCGTGTTTGCATGTATGTCAATAGAAGCTATTTCGCGTAGTCATCCGAGCGAATTGAGTTACTGATACGGATCTATGCTGGGATCACAAATTATTAAGCATGTTTCCAATCCCGGCTCAACCGTTTCGAGTTCGGTGGATGCGCGTGAATCAAAGGCTACAGGCGCTTAACCGATTAAATCACTCACAAAATAATGCTTCCTCGCTTGGCATAAAGTCTGAAATTCGGAGCACAAAGCTCGACAACTTTCGCTCGCGTGACCACGTAAAAGTAAGCATTCCAAGAAAATCGCTTTGGAAAGTGAACGATCCCGACAACTAACTGACTAGCGATTAGAATGTGCGGTAAAGGTGAAACATTTACTCTTTCATAAGTTCGCGACAGTGGATTTTATTCTTGTTTGTATATTCTGACAGCCCACTTGTTTCACTGATGGTACACTTGGCGTTCAGTTTCAATTTCCCTGTAAGTCGTGGGGTTCATCACTGTGCTTCGCTAGCTGGCCGTCAGTTCTTTGTAGCTCGTACAAAACACGTTGGGCTCGGCAAAGTTCGCTTTCCAATACTCGGCATCCATGGTTGGCCTTACTGGTAATTCTCGCTAACAGTAAGTTCGGCTGTACAACTGGTGACCCCGGTTGCGAACTCCAGCGCAGCCATCTTGTATTTTTCACCCAAGTGAGACGAAACCTCGTTGGGTTTTCCCTTTTTCATCGTTTAGCATCCTTTTATCATGTCTGATCCGGGTGGTAAAGTTCATGATCCTGCTTTCAATGCCGTCAGCTTTCCTGTTATGCCGTTTATTAGCAGCGATCCACAGTTTTGTTCGTATTGCTAGAGTCTGAGTTAATCCGCCATAGGATCACCTCCAATTTAACAAAGTGTAGCCAGCAACTAGTTTGCTCGCCCTGCAGCTAAACCCTGTAACTCAGGATCTTTTAATGCAACCTATTTGTACGCAACGTAAAGACACTGCTAAGCAGGTCATCATTAGCAGCACACCATCCGAGCGGACACCTAGTCAGCAGCTATTCCAAGGTCTGCCATTGGGTGAGAAGAAAGCCTCAACGCTACTGAGCAAGATGCGTCAAATGCTCGGTACATCGTCCATGGAAGAAGCAGTATTGCGCGAACTCTGGTTACAGTCTACCAGAAACAGCCCAGGGTATCCTTATCGCGACTTAACTGCAATCGCCAGGTGACGCCCCTCAAATAGCTGACGTGATATTTAATCGTTTTCGTCGACAGCTCAATTGTCTCAATTTCCATTGCCACAGCTACTTTGTACGCACAATAGCGTACCTGTTCCTTGCTGTTCACACCTCACCTAGTCTGCTCATACTTCACAGGAATGCACGACTATTTTCGCGCAATTAGCTGCTTTGCGCCGTGACTTTAACATTAGATCTAACAATAACGAACGCCGCTCACGTAGCAAATCGCTGAACCGTAACGACTCTGCACATGGCAATCAGTACTGCTGGTACCACCGCTAATGTGGTGCACAAGCTAAGCGCTGTACCACACCCTACACCTGCAATGCAACTCAACAGGGGAACTCTCAGGCCACGATGTAAAGGCGACTAGCGTCAATGGTCCATGCGACAGCAGTTAGGGCCTGGAAATCTGGAACCGCGTTCCTGGTCGATATCGGGACTGAAGTTAGCGTTGTTAATCCTGCACCTGGGGAAGCGACTAAGCCGGCCACCTAATCTTCGTGCTGCCAACAGCACACTAATCCCTACTTACGGCCAGCGCTTCTTAACCTCCAACTTGGGTCTCCGTAGAACATTTCACTGGGTGTTCAATACTGCCGCCATCCCGTTTGCCATCATCGGCATACACTTCTTCTGACATTTCGACCCATTGGTCGACCCCGCAACGACGCTCAGCGTCGCTGGCACCAACGCCCGCCTTGCAGCTATCATCCCAGTCTACGTGCAACTGTTCTCTCAGTACTCTGAGCTCGTTCCGACAATAAACGTAGTTTCAGGTGTGGCATCTCAGGTCACATACCATATCAATACCAACGGCCACCCGTTTCATCACGCCCGCGCCGACTTTCGCCAGAGAAACTGAAGCGAGCTAGGGCGGAGTGCGAGCACATGCTCGAACTTGGAATAATCCGTCCTTCGGCTAGTCCTTGGTCTACTCCAGATGGCCCCAAAGAAATCTGACGAGCTTGCGGTGACTAACGGGCCTTAAACAAAGTTCCGGTCCACGACAAGTACCACATCCTACATATACAGGACCTCACTGCATACCTAACAGGTAAGACGATCTTCAGCAAGAGCGATCTTGTTCGAATCTATCACCAATATCTGTCGAGGAAGAAGAATTACCTAAAACAGCCGTCATTACCACCTTTAAAGTGTTCGAATTTTTGAGAATGCCTTTCGGATTGTGCAATGCCGCATAAACATTTCAGCGTTTCATCCACGACGCCACCCGTGGCCTAGACTTTGCCTATCCCTAGATGACATCCTTGTAGCCAGTTCATCCGACGAAGAGGATCTAGCTCATCTTAAATCTCTCTTCCAACGGTTGACCCAACATTGAGTCATCAGTAACCCGACTAAGTGAGAAGTTAGGAAGTCCATGGTAGAATTCTTAGGCCACATCGTCTCGTCGTATGGTATCGAGGTCCTTGCGGACAAATCCAAGCTAACAAAGATTTCCCAGCCCCGTCTTTATTTAAGCACCTACGTAGATTTTTCAGTCTTGTTAATTACTAGCGACGCTTCATCCCCAACTGCGGCCAACTCATGCAACCTCTGACTGACCTCAGAGAAAACGAACGTAAGTTCGCTTCCCCCGATATAGCACAAGCGAATTTCACTGAGGGCAAAAATGCTATCTCCAACATAGCTCTCCTCGTTCCCTCCGAACCGCCTGCTCCCATTTCTCCGACAACTGGCGCTTCAGACATTGTGGTAGGAGCTGCTCTCCAACAGCACGTTGGTAGACAGCAGCAACCACTCGGTTTCTTCTCCAAACGTCTGCAACCAGCGGAATGCCGCTACAGCACGTTTGGTAGAGAACTGTTTGCCATCTACTTAGCTAATCGTCACTTACGACCCACAGAAGGCCGGGCTTGTACAGTCTACAGTAATCATATGCTTCTCACCTTCGCCTTCAATTAATCCTCTGAGAAATAT